TTATATTGTATTTTATTGTATTATATTGTATGTATAGTATATTATAGTATATTATATTGTATGTATATTATATTAAATTATGGTGTATTATATTATATATCATATTATATTATAGTATATTATATTACATAAATATATATATATACATATAAGTATACTAGATTATATTACATTATGCTATCTTATATTAAATTGTATTATATTATATTATATTTAAAAAAAAATGTTATATCATACATATATATATATATGTATATTATATTATATCATATTATATTATATCATATTATATTATATTATACTTTATTTTATTTATTAAATGTATGTATATGTATATAATATTGCTAAATCACCAAAGTGATCTGTCACATTCACCCCTTTCGTGCCCAGCCTTTCCCTGCACCCAACACGCCGCCGTTGCCCTCCACAAAGTTTCCTTCGAAGCCTTCAGTGAAGAAGGCATCCTCAGATACTAAGAGAATTAGAGAATTCAAAAGCCATTTTTTTCATCAAATCATGAAGCCTTCAAAGCCTTCACATAGAAACATGATTTGACAGAGTCTGCAGCCACCTGGCTGCTCTAAATTTCGTACAGACCTTGGAAACTCGATCCGATTCGATCCTACGTGACTTCAGCTGCCGTTGCTGCCCCATGGAATTTCTACGGGTTGAAGCCTCGTCTGACAACGAATGTCACGATTGTTTTTCCTAACTGCTAATGTGGTAAACCATGAGAAAACCCAATGCCATAAACCATCTCATGAAAAACCAACTATGACTGGCATGTTACAGCTTGATTCCGCACCAAGTTGTAGACTAAAACTTCGACTGTTCAGCTATGGCTCCTCCCCATAGCCAGGCTGATGCAAAGTCGACAGCGGCACGTAGAAGCCGCCTTCCTGGCTGAATCTGGGGACCGCAACTTAGGGCTGGCAGGGATATGATGCCGCTAAGGGCCAGGTTGGGATCTGGTTTTGACAGAGAAAAAGTCTCAAAGTGTGAAAATGATATCCAAGAGATTTTGATAGACCTGCATTGAACTGAAACAACTAAACAATACTAAACAATACTAAACAATACTAAACAATACTAAACAATACTAAACAATACTAAACAACTATCCGCTAATTTCTTGACGGGGTCACCTTGCACCCCGCCTCGAAGAGGATCTCCATCATCAAGGAGGTGATGGCATGGTCGTCGAAGGGCTCCACGTACAAATTGGCGCAGAACCACTTCCGGCCCTGCAACTGCTCCTTGGACCAGGTCCTGCGGACGGTCACGGGCTGTCACGGCCCTGCCTTCCGGGCTGCTGGGGAGAAGATGTGGGGAATAGCATAGCACAAAGATTGAAGCTGATCTGGAGTCACCTGTTCACATTCGACGCCACAGCTGTCCGTCCTTTCAAATATCTCACGCCTTCACCTCTTGCCGATGGAATGTGTTCGCACATGGGGGCCTTGTCAATCTGTTCGCCATCCGGTCCTGTATTCAAACCCAGGATGACTCTTGCAGAAATCATCCCACCAGCTTTGACGCCATCTCTGAGGATCATGATTGGAGTCCAGACCGCCCAAGATCACCTGGCCGCTTCCCGTCGTGATGTGGTAAGCTTGAAGTTGGATGTAGTTGGATGTTGAATAGCAAAAGTAAATTGAGAGGGTATGGAGACCTAAGTGCGGAGTTGTGATTTTGGTTCCCTGGAGGCAACAGAGAACAACATCCATAGCGTGTCCAGATGTGGCCAGGCTTCCACTCACCTGGTGGATCACTTTAGGCACCGTGGCATCCGCAGAAAACCTGATCAAGATCGATCCAGAATCGGATGGATTTGGATCAGAAGGGATCAGAATGGATCCACATGAGGTAAGGTTCCATGATGATCATGATGTTCCATGATGTTCCATGGACTTTGGATCGATCCAGAGGGAGACGGATCCTCCCAATGTCTGGGGCCTGGTTTCCAGGTCTTCCAGCTTTGGCAGCTCTTTGAAGGGCCCAAAGGGCCAAACCTTCTTGGAGTGAAAGGGGCACTGTCGAGCCTGGCACTCAAACATTAACGGCTCAGGGGCGAAAGCTCTTGAAAATTGAGCTGCACACAAAATATGACTGGCCAAAAAAATCCAATCAAGTCTTTCAGTCCAATCTTCCAACCCCTTGTGGCAAAAAAAGACTTTCCGGCTTTTGACTCTCTGATCGCGGTCCTCACAATTCAGACCGAGGGGGGTGAACGAAAGCTAAATGGCAAATGAATGTGGAACTAGGTGAGGTGAACTCGGAAACATGCAGGGAAGGGTAGACGAGAGTGATCCACATGGAAGGATGCAAGAGGGTGTCGCAGAAGAAGTGTAAGTTTCAAGTTGCAGTCCTATAACATGTGAAGCATGGGTAGTGGAAAAAGTTAGAAGACGGTGTCGCTAGAAAGTTTGCAACATGTGGAACAAAGAAGATGGTGACTTTATGAAAAAGTTTGGGCCCCATCGAAAATTATCATTTTCTATGGAGCTTAAATCGACACAGTGTTGACCTGAGGTAGAAAGAACGTTATGGTGTCTAAATTCTGGTGAGGCGTCTTGTGCATGCGAAGAACGGGTAGGCGGTTGTTGCAAGTCGGAAAACAGCAGAAGCAAAGAAAATGGTGTCTGTAGAAAGTTTGGAACATGTGGGCCAAAGAAGATGGTGACTCGATTTTAAAGTTTGGGCCCCGTCGAAAATTAAAATTTTCCATGGGGCTCAAATCGACACAGTGTTGATTTGAGGTAGAAAGAACGCTATGGAGCTTAAATTCTGGTGAGGCATCTTGCGCATGCGAAGAACATGTAGGCGGCCTTGCAAGTCGGAAAACAGCAGAACTAAAGAAGATAGTGCCTCCAGAAAGTTTGGAACATGTGAACCAAAGAAGATGGTGACCCTATAAAGTTTGAGCCCCATCGAAAATGTTCGAAAATTATAATTTCCGATGGGGCTCAAATCGACACAGCTTTGACCCCAATCAAAAAGAAGGATATCGAGGAGACTGTTTTGGTGAGGCATCTTTGTATCGAGACAACATGTACGCTTCTGTGGAGGTCGTAAAACATCGAAATGAAAGAAGATGGTGTCTTTAGAAAGTTTGGGCCCCAGCCAAAATTATAATTTTTCATGGGGCTTAAATTGGTTGACCTGAAGCAGAAAGAACTCGATGGATGCTGTGTGTGCCCTGCATCACATCTCAACAAGCGGCTTGCTTGCATTAGGCTACATAGTTATGTATATAATTATATATATACATGTATATATATAGAGAATGTGTATGTGTATACATGACTATGCATGTATATATGTATATACACACATCACCATGTATATATGTATTGTAAATATATATATATGCACCTATATATATATATATGCTCAACGAAATGTAATGAGAGAGGCTGACTGTACAGATATGTTTGTTGACAACTTTCTTTTTATGGCTGAGCAGCTGCGGAATGTGTCGGCGATAGATGCTGTTTGTGCCCTGCAACACATCTCAACAAGCGGCTTGCTTGCATTGGGCTACATAGTGATATATATATATACATGTGTATATATAATGTGTATGCATATACATGACTATGCATGCATAAATATATATATATATATTGTGTTTTTCCAGACATCCATCTCCAAACATGCATGCTTCGATGCCTTGGCCGTGCTGTCGCATATCCATATAGGCTCAGGAAGACTCAGGGGGTCACGGTGTGTGCAAAAGGGCGTGGTTCGCCGCTTCATGGGTGTTGGCCAGGGACGCCACTAAATCGAGAAGTGTAACAAGTTTGGACAGGGAATCCAATATCTATCCTTGTGGTCAAGGACTTCTGATCAGGTGGTCAAGGTGGAAGATTTGGTTGAAAGGCCCGTTACCAGTTCAACACTGGTAGCGGAGCCAGAGGGCTCACCGCTGCCAGCCTGGTTGCTTGCTGCGAAAGTGGGTGGATCCAGGGAATATGGAAATCTCCAATGGCGGTGGATCGACTGCGACTGGAGGTTCCACAGGGAATTCATTTCTCCCATGGCACTTGATACCTTCATTTAAGCCTGGAGAGACCGAGATAAATGAGTACACGAGACGACTGGAGTTTCTTGCCAATATCTGGCCCCCAGAACATTTGCCTCAGCTCGCTCCTCGAGCTTGCATGTTGTGCGAAGGCACAGCCTTTGCAAAGGTAGTGCGTCTGGATCTGGAGAAGCTTCGAGTCGGTACCACAGATGGTGTGAAGCTGGTCGTGAAGACCCTTGGGGGAGTCTGGGGGCAATCTCGACTGGAAAAGAAGTATGAAAGGTTTGAACGTGCAATTTTTGGAACGATTCAAAAGGCAGATGAAACTCATGCCAGTTAATTGGCCCGACATGAAGTGCAATATGAAGATTTGATTAGCATGGGTGCCACCTTGGAGGAGATGAGGGCCTATATCTTACTTCGAAACTCAGGTTTGTCTGCTGATGATAAAAAGAAGGTCATCATGGACGCAAACGGTGAACTTGAGTACACCAAAGTGACGGCAGCACTGCAATTGTTGGGTTCCAAATTTTTTGGAGAGGTTCAACAGGGTTTCAGCAAAAATCAGACTCGCACCAAGACTTATGATGCAAACATGATAGACGAACAGGAACAAGATGTTGATGATGGAGATGAGAATGTCTTCTTGGCCTCCGAGGTTTCTGAAGAAACTGCATTTGACATCATGATGGCTGAAGGAGACGAAGATGCTTTGGTTGTCCAGCAATTTGAAGATGCAATTCTGGATTCACTGCAATCTGACCCTGATGTAGCCTCCTGTTTGAATGCCTATGTGGATGCGAGAAAGCGCCTCCTTGACAAAGCCAAAGGACGTGGATTTTGGGGTCCCTCAAAGAACAACAAAGGGAAAGGTAAAGGAAAATTCAAGGGTGGTTTTCGGTCTCAGTTCAGAAAGCCTCTAGCCCAACGAATACTGGAAAGCTCATGCAGGATATGCCATCAAAAGGGGCATTGGAAAGCAGAATGTCCACAAAGGTTCAAGGCAGGTTCAAATGCCGCTGCACCAGCATCCGGCGCACCCGCTGCCTTTGCCGGAGTGTCCCTTGCCACTGATGGCGATCCGATTGAGCCTGATGGTGACTTAGTGACTGAACTGCCTGAGAATGCCGCGGCGTTCACTGTGGAAGAGGTTCGAATCAGAAATTCCTCCCTTTTGAGTAGACCCGGTATTTGTTTCCCACCAGCCAAAATCCGCAATAGCTGGACCAAGACCATGTTCAATCCCAAATCATGAAAATTCGACCTGACCTCGTCACCAGACTGCGCGCAATTGTCAGGCCGACCAAGATGATTCCGCCACAACGTGGCAGCGCATCACCGAGACCTGACCCCCTGGGTCCCAAGATAGATGAGGACTTACCTGAGAGTTCGTTTTTTGTCTCACATGGGTCGTCAGGGATTGTTGATTTAGGAGCCAGCATGTCAGTCATAGGCCAGCATCAGTTTTCAGATCTGTGTCATTCCCTCCCTGCTGAGATCCGAGGGCGGCTCAAAGAAGCCCCTTGTAATGTGAGCTTTAGATTTGGCAACAATAGCATGGTCACTGGAAAGAAAGCCGTGTTCTTTCCCATCGGTCCGTTTTGGATGAAAGTGATTGTGGTTCCCTGCAATACGCCATTTCTCATTGCCAACAGTGTTTGCAGATCTCTAGGTGCAGTCATAGACACGGATAGCAGCCAGATTTTTTTCAAGAAGCTGGACCGAGCAATTCCAATCGTGCTCAATGAGCGGAAGCTGTATCGTCTTGACATGATGGATCTTTTGACCGCTCCGATCAGTAGCACAAAAGGACTCTGCCAGAATCATGTCTCAATGTCGGAAGAAACGAAAGCAGCAGCCTTTCAAACGGTAGAACATGTCAATCCAATTCAGGAAAGCCCCATCACTGCTGTTTCAAAGCCGCTTACCGTAAGTTTTGACCCTGATGCAGCCGAACCATTTTCCAGAGCCGAGCAATCCCGGCTCAAAGATCAGATCGCTCAGCACGAACGAGTTGGTTTTGATAGTCATGTCGACCGGCGGTCAGTTCGATCAGTTGGCAGACCGCCTCCGCCGTCTTCAACTGGACAATCAGGCCAGTTCGGAGGCCGTGGAGCAAGTGATGGAGATGAGTTTGGAAGAACTTCGAGAGTGTCGAATCGAGTTTGGAAAAGCCCATATGAACAAGCTCTTCAAGGAGATGGTGAACGAAGATCGTTATCTGACATGGTTTGCAGAAAATTACCGCCACAGCCAGAAGATCTGCCACATGAAGTTCCTCCGCTTCATCGAGATGCACCTGGACTATGTGGAGAACCAGAAGAACCAAACTCGACCCAAATCTCATGCCAAAGCCAAGGCCAAGCCAAAGGCCTCCAATCATGCAACACCTCATGCCCGGGAGCACCCCGAGTTGCCTCACGACCCATGGCACCCCAGCTCCGACGAGGAGATCGAGAGCACGCCTTGGGAGCCAGTGGTCCATGCCGAAGAGATCAATCATATGAACGAACGCATGACCGAGATGGAGTCCGTGCTGCAGCAGATCCTGAGCCACCTGAATCCAAATGCTCAGCCTCACTCCATGGCCTGATGACAAAACATCAGATAGCCGATCTCTGTGGTGTATGCCAAACATTGGCTGAACCTTCACAAGTGTTTGACCCAATGTCCGAAGTAGGAGTTAGGGAAAGCATTCTACTCACCAGGGAAGATAATTGGGTGGCCCGTGAAATGTGGAATTTCTTTTCTCAACAAGGAGTGTTCAAGAATCCTCAGAGGTATGCCAAGAACTTATCCGATGTCATGGAAATTTATTGCAGCTCCGACAGTGAATTGACTAAGCAGGCCCAACAGCTAGGTTTACATGCTGAGAGATTTTGTTTGCAAGATGGAGATCTGGCCACCATGGAAGGCCGACGACGGCTGTACGAACGCCTGCTGAGAATTTTGCCTCGGAACATTTGGTTGTCCCCAAAATGCAGAGCATGGTGTCGATGGAACATTTTTAACATG